TTCTGTCTTCTGGGTTGTTGCGCTGTGTAGTCTGGTCGATGTTAACCAACGTTTCAGAGGTCATACTGCCTCCGTCATCAGGGCGATGAATATGGTAACCATCGACCAGTCTACACAGCGCAACAACTCAGAAGACAGAAATCTTCATACTCACCGCTGTGAAAATCTCAAATCTTACAGTTCATGTCGTCTTTCCAATAAACGTATACAGTGTACGAAACAAAATCATATTTAAGATTTCCATTATATTGAAGGCTAGTGACATACAATACGGAAACTAGTTTAAGTAAACTGAAATTAAAGACTTCTATATCAAAATCCAAAACCCAAAATTCTAATGTAGTGATGACATAACATATAAAATTCAGCCCCTATGTTTCTGCATTGCACATTTGAATGAAAAATAGAGATAAAAATCCTGGGACGTGAGATTATAAAGGAAAAGAAAACAAAGAATTAAATGAGGGGGAAATGTTTGAAAGAAATGAACTTGCAACCTACGGGAGAGCTGATGATGACGAGGTTGAGGGGGAGGGGGAGGGGTAGGGGTGAAGAATCATAACACTACAAAACGGAGACAGGGAACAAATGAAAGCAACGCCGTTCTACGGTTCTTTTTCTACAGAAATGCTATGACGTCAGAGCTTGGGATTGGTTGCAAAACGCCGTTGCGACATGTATTGATCCGAACGCAGACCAGGAATGCTAAAACATTTTTGCTAATGGCTACGGGGGATAATATATTGCCGACATTTCGTGAATACCGAAAGGATTGCTTTGCCATCGTCGTGAAGGGGTTGGAAAATCAACAAAAAGGAACAGAAAGTGCAATAATTTAAATGAGATGTTACAGTCGGGTTACAAGGTCAAGGTTCCGAAGTATGCGTCGAGAAGTATCAACAGGTTGTTCCCGGTCTGTCGAATATAAAACAAAGCGTATAGTCATATCTGCGGAACAGAACGAGAGGTCGGGGATGTTACAGCACGTAATCGTTTCTCAGAATATTTAACGACGCTGTGTCAAATACAGAGACTGAAATGGGCCCATGTGCGTATTATCAATACCAGCTCGTCAATAACTGAAACTTATTACCCCTTGGGACGTAGGAAAGAACAAAACTTTTTTTTCCCTTTATTTAATAACGTTTCATCAAATCCCTTAGATTTTACATCGGATGATTAATGCGAGTGGTGACGTACGAAGGATATGAAGCGAATACTTCCGATACCTGTTTTAAAATGATTTTACAAAGCATCCTTAGGTGACTTAAGATGGAAAGCGAGAAAACCAATCGATGAAGAAAAGTTTTCAAAACGTTTCTAAAGTTGAAGACATACGTCGAAAAGCGAAAAAGTTTGTGTGCTTCGTCTTCAGAAATAATTCTTTACAGTAAATCAAACTTACTTTTGTAATGAACTCAGTAATAAGTTTACAGCTAATTAATTTTACTTCTAATGTTATTTCAATATTAACTACTGTGTGTAGAAGAATATCTGATATTTAATTTCGTATTAAATGTTGATATTTTGCCCACCTCCATTAAAGACATCTCTAGACCGGACTTATTAGGGTCTCTAATTAAGTTAATCCCTAGTACTTAACACTAAATTCAGTAGTATGGGCTAGCTTTGCCTTAAATATCCGTAGTTACACCTTTCCTTGACCATAATACGGAGGAAGACGCAGCCTCCGAAATGCGACATCTAGTTATTTAGGCAAAATAATTACCCAAAGAAAATTCTACCGAAAGACAAGAACCGAGCTAACTCATTCAACACACTGGGGCTTGTTTCATGATCATTTAATTCCGTGCACTTCTGACTGCCATTTATGTCACCGTGTTGTGATGGTAGTTGAATTTTTCATATCACTTAGAACTTTTAGAATTTTAGAACCACTGTAAAAGGAGAAAGCGTTTCAGTCCTGCGAGGAACTAAAGTCACTACAAAAGAAAACTTTTCTTTCAGAATTTCATTAAAGAGAAGAGTGAGGCTCAGGTTCTGAAGGAACAAATTTTATACACGCTGGAAGAGGAAAAATTGTGGCAAATTCACGAGTTGAGAAAACTCGTTACGATTCGAAGGGATCCAAAACTGTGCTATCTTTGTCAAATCAACTTTGATAATTTTGTGACATATTTAAGTAATTAAAGAGTGACCTAAAAATAAAACGGAAATTTAAGTCTTAGAACGAAACTTAAACTGCATGAACAAAAGTCAGCAGAAAAATGTTGCCTCAAAGTTTATAAACAACTTACAGACTTTGCGGGTTTCTAACTCAAAGAAAAACAAAAGTCTTTATGACATGGTCACATTTCTGGGATTTTATTACGATGGCGATAGACATTCCCGAGCCGCATTCAGTTTTGGATAAGTTACATTAGTTTTGAAAGAAAGAACCCTCCTACACAAGGTCTCCAATTTAGAACACCTTTCTGGTTTGTGGCCTTTGTTCCTATGATCTCTTCAAAAAAACTATTTTTTTGATGTTGGTATTGTTTTATACAGTACTTACTTTGCGGGCTACAAGAACCTCCATCACCGGGACTTTAAACCAGGGAATTCCTGCAAGCGTTCTTGTAACGTACCCCAGCAACTTAGTTTTAAAGACCATGACAGTGAAATGTGATTTTTCAATTGTAACTCGCATTGATATTGATATAGAAAATAAATAATTAAATTTATCTTTTGTGTACCGGATGTTGACGTCTCAGAGCAGTACGACAATTCTAGCACTATAAAATATGTACAATAAATTAATGGTAATTTGAAATGCTTCTTGGGCCGAAATCATAAATATTTACTGGAATTTAAAAATAACTATTCTGTCCGAAGCAATTCTCAAACGATGGTCCAAAACTCGTCTTTGCAGAATCTTTTATTGGATATATGAATGTAGAAATCACGAGATGACAAATATACCCTATATATATTGACTATAAAAATACCTGTTTCTAACAGATCCGTACGTGAAGGTGTATTTGTTATGTGAAGGGAAGAGGATAAAAAAGAAGAAGACAACTGTTAAGAAAGCCACGCTCTGTCCGGTGTACAACGAGGCACTAGTTTTTGATGTCCCAGCGGAAAACATCGAGGATGTCAGCCTGGTCGTCAAAGTGATCGACTACGACAGGTACAGAAATTACAACCTTCCATACAAATTCAGATTTAGAATATAGGCCTCATTAGTAATAATAAAGTGAAAATATATAAGCCTATCAAATTTGATTTTGATGTTTATTCATTGGAAATAACATCCATGTCGTGGAACAGAATTAAATCTGACAGAGTGCATCAAATGACCTGTACACAGGATCGGCCCTAACGAGCTGATGGGCTGCACAGCTATAGGTTCTAGTTTCATTGGAATTGGGCGAGACCACTGGCTGGAGATGCTGGACAACCCCCGCAAGCCAGTTGCCCAGTGGTACCCTCTCTTAGAAACAGTTCCAGGGCAGATTCCACTCACGAGCTCCCAGCCATTGCCTGTCAGTCTGAGTTGTCTCAACGGAAGGTAAGCATGCATATCATTCACTGTGGGAGTCTGACTACTGGCTCAGAAACTACTAATCCACGCAATCAAAACACTGAAGTTGAAAAACCACAAAGTTTTTAAGCACAACCGCAATGTAAGATTTGAGGTTTTCACAGCGGTGAGTATGAAGATTTCTGTCTTCTGGGTTGTTGCGCTGTGTAGTCTGGCCGATGTTAACCAACGTTGAATTCATCGCCCTGATGACGGAGGCAGTATGACCTCTAAAACGTCGGTAAACATCAACCAGACTACACAGCGCAACAACCGAGAAGACAGAAATCTTCACAACCGAAATGCTCTCACAGCATATCTGTACCTTTTAACAGACTATACAAAAGAGTTTATATGAAAACACGTATCAAGCCATATGTTTCGGATGTTCTAGAAAACACTTTCAATATCATTAAACCACCTATTTCAGGATGTAATATGATCTGTTTATTATCATTCCGCTTATAAAAGACACAGAGCATTATAATCGGAGCGTCCTAATGAAAAAAAATAAATCTAAAATTTAAGACGCAGTCTCATGTAGTTTTTCTTTGCTTTCAGGTGAAGGAAATCCTAGTCAACTCTGCTATATAACTATACTTCCACTTTACTTGGAAGTTCTATACAAGGAGCTGCTCAAAGATGTGACGGAACGTCTAACACTTCAAACAGAATCTTTCCTAAGACATCCTGTCATCCTTTCATCACAACTTTCCCGATCAAGGGAAACGTTTGTAAAATACTGCATCCGTTTCCCTATATTGTCTACATCCTTCTGATTTTCCTGTGGGAAATACTCTCCTCTCTTTGTTCTGAGTCTGGGCTCAGCTTCTAAACCAGAACTACGCATCTGTATCTTTTCACATTCAAAATATGCATGCAGGCTGACAACAACTCCTCTCTGTCATACGTAGGCTAAATAAATATATTAGTTACATCACAAGCTTAAATAAAATTAAGTTCTGTAAACAGTACCATATGGACTATATAATTAAAAAAATGAACATTTTATATTTACGTAGTAGCTCGAGTTAGAAGAGGCCCAACAAACATGAGTGATTATGAAATACAATCGTCGCCATATTTTATTTTTGGCTCGGCATATTTTTATTATTTATAACCATTAAATAATTATAATTATTGTGTATTAATGAAGCGCATATATAACAGCAGGTTCATGATGGTGTGTATAGAAATGAATACATTATATGTAGCCCTATATCTGCTTTAGTAAACGTTAGAGTAATAAAATATACCACTAAGTGGTATACTGAATGCTAGAGCAATTTCACAGCTCTGAGTTGAACAGAATATACTGACAATCTTTCCGACTGTCGTGGGGACCTAATGGTATTTCGCCCTTTCTTATCAAAAGAAATGTTATAAAATAGTAAATATTAAATAAGTGCATGTAAAGAAATATTCGTTATGTTCATTATACCTTAATAGGCTATTTCGCCAACCAAATCAATCCATTCTGCTCTACAAATGCTGATTACTTTAACAATTTCCCTTTATTGATGTTAAAAAACATAAAACTTTAAGACAATGCTCAAAATGGTAATTTTTAAAATAAATTTAGCCTCAACTTTGTCTAACGAAAGTAAATATTCTCTTTTCGAATGTTATGAACTTAATACATTTTTAATTCGGCGTATTTATATCATGTCTACCCGGTGAATCTATGTTTATTCGTTGTGTACCAAACCTTTTAGCAATAAGAATCCTCAATTACAAAATATGTACGCCTAATAATTTCAAAACACGTGTACAGATTCTAACCTTTGCAATTAAGTTCGGGTGTCCACCAACAGACAGAGAAAACAGCTGTATCTGTGTACACAGTTGTCTGTATCATCCTTCCCTATCACTTAAACTAAAAGACACAAGATGTCTCTTCATCTGTGTTCGTTTATCCTGTGTCTACCGAGTTAAAATTATTTGTTGCTTTAAAATTTTGAACACAGAAAAACAGCATTCTGATGGCGTAGCTAGATGCTACTGGGACGCGGTAACACTGATACTCGTCATAAAAGTCAAAGGATCGGCCGGTAATTAACGCTGTAAATATTCGGCACTTTTCATGTCGGAAGGGAACGTACCTCGTACAGGCACCCTCATAAAACACAAAAAGGCCTATGAAAAAAAAAATTAAATCTGTTAGTAAAATTTTTGGTGATAACTGATATTTGACACAGCCAATGGAATTAAAATTGTTAGAATAAAACATTAATATTTACGTTTTGTCAAATACCTTAAAATTATAGTGACCTTTAAAGTTTCCGTTGTAGCGAAGGACAGAAATGTAATTTCACATCATGGCAATTGTAAGTAGCATTTCCGAAAATGATAAACCACCTACAACAAGTCAGGGGTTATTTATGCTCTGCAGGCGGAGCACTGGGCCTCTTTTGACACCTGTAATCACTGAACGAATGGGAATTTTCCCTCACTACATCAATTACCTGCTCTGACCTTTGATGAGTAACCGCATGCATGTATGTACGTGCATGTCGGCGAAAAGATTAAGGTTATAATCATCAGTGATTTTTAAGTGCGGAGAATCTCCACAGGGTGCAGGCAAAATTTAGTAAAGAGCAAACACTAAGTTGTATTATTCCACTATTTTTCTAGAGAAATCAGTGAGAATTCGCAGAATATCCAATCAGGAGAGATGACGCTGTCTGAGATTTACACCAGTTCTCTAAACTCAAAAATGGGTTACTAGTGCTCCACATTTTAACCAAGTACTCAAAAAAGGGGGGGGGGGTCACCTCTCCAGATGAAAGATGGGAATATTACATATAATATGCAACGACCGATGCTTCCTATGATCATTCATAATCATCCTTTAATTCTCTCATGAGACGACACAGATCGTTTGCAGTTGATTCGGTGGCATTAATTAACCCAATAAACGTTGCACTTATAACAGACATGCTGTTCAAACTTGCATCTCAGTTAAAATTAAATTATTTGGTTATTCCGTCAAATCACAATGTATTTAAAATAAGATAATTAAAATAATTAAAATATCATTCTGTGTTCCATATCGAATAATCGATTTACAATTGGATTATTCTAATTAGAACACAGAATAATATTTTAATTATTTTAATTATCTTATTTTAAATACATTGTGATTTGACGGAATAACCAAATAATTTAATTTTAATTTAATAAATCACAATATGACGCAACTACACTATCTTATGAATAACTTGCATCTCAGTCTTTCCTACCAGTTCATATGAAGTCTGAAATTGTATAAACATAAAAACAAAGAAGTTTTCAATCGCGTAATATGTGTGACCTATTACATTAATCTATCGCGTTAAAAATTGTGATGTGTGATCTCGACAGGGCAGAGGTAATTTATAATAGTATTTTAAGGTAATTACAACTCAATAATTAATAGAGCCAAACGAATCAGACACTGTCAACACCTTACAGAGTAATTTAGACTATATAACAGATGATTTAATTTATTTTCAACACCACCGATAACTACGTTCGATCACCATGTCGAGCTTTTGCAACATTTAAAATGTACAGCCTCCTCACTCTCTGAAGTTGAAATATTTCTGACGTAACAGTTTTCTACATTCAGAGCAGTCTTTGATGGTGGCGGCTAAGATACTATTACTGCTAGAGATAATTTTATTTATGGAATTATAAAGACGCGTCTTTGATTTCACACCTGCAGTTGTAATTTATGTAAAATATTTTGTAATTATTATCCACAGCCTTTTATACATAACGAATTGTACATAGTAGATTATAACGTATCGACTATATTATAGATAGAATAGTCGTTACTCTGTAATTAAAATTTATTATACGTACTGCCTTCATTAAATATTGGACAACCCTGTGCGCTATTAAAAAGTAATTGAGTCGAAGCTATCTTTGGTTACGCGTACGTAGACTGTACATTTCAGTAAAATATTTGTATCGATGACGTATGCGAGAAAAAAATGTGCACGTAAGGCTGAGACTGAACCTAAATTAGGATTACTAAAACCATTTGATAAAATAAATTTAAAATTGTGCATTGTAAACTACTAGAGATAAAGACGTGTTGGACTAATAAGGACGTCTCACAATACTTCATAAAGGCGAACAAAAAACACAGTCCTACTTTAATTCTAGAAAAAAACGTAATGTAATAAAAACCTTCTCATTGCCGGAAAGGATAAAAATCTGTCCTTATCATAGCCCAACTATGAAGGGCTGCTTGGGGACGTAATCTTCTTTTACATTTCGAAACCTTAGTGGAAAAATAGTTTCCATGTTGGCGTTCATACTGAAATTCATTGCAATAGCAATTTATCTGCGGAATTCCTATAAAAACCTAACAAAAAAACACCTCAGTCTGCATTAAACACAGTTTCTGTAAACAATGATCTTAGTTCTGATATAGGAGTCATTCAGAAAGCAGTAACCTAACTACTTTTAAAGAAAACCATAAAATGGAAGACACTTGAAAACAGTAAGATTAGATATTCTGTCGGGGAGAGACGTAATCCAATATATGCAGAGCAATGTGAAAGCGAAGATGGATCTGTAATTGTCCCCGAATATCTCACAAAATTCACGTTTATTAAGCTTATTAGATTAAAACCGCACACATAAAATGCAATCAAACAGATTAAATTACCTTGCAATTCCCTAAGATGCAAACTAATTCGTACTTTTAGAAATGTATAAATATGCCCAAATACGAGAAAATGTTATCTTTTGTCTTTGCTAGTTCATTATAGACTATGGGCTCTGTCCATTATTAAAGGTAAATATTTAATTAAATACGACAGAAGCAAATCAGTGTGACGTTTCGATAATTGGCTCTACTCCCGTCTTGTGGTGACGTCAAACATCACGGGAATAAAAGCGACATTACTGTAAAGATATATCGACAAACTTACGTGAAAGGGAAAACCCTTATTTAAAACAAAAGTGTCTATAATACTGACAAGTATATGGTATATAAAGTAGCCTACTGTGATGTAAAATGTAACAACTGTATTTTCCTACAATGTGAAATAATGTATATTATGTAATTTAAATGTTCTGGTGACTGAATTATGTTGGCTTTCAACTCACGTGCCTCGTGTCTTAATAAATGTAGTTACTGTTGAAATTCAGCCGAAATAATGTTTAAACTTCACCTCTTATTCCTTGCGGGTTTCATTCAGTATATTTGACCGCGTTCTTTTTATTTGGTTTTTTGACGTAATCTTATTTCTTAATCTTTTACGTCATTTATATATTATTTTTCTCCAACTGTACTTTTTAGTGATTGGCTGCACTTTGCCTTGTTTGGCTGTTTTCAAGCGCACGAATGAATTAAATAATATTACTATTCAAGACTGCTGAGTGGCTTCGAAATAAACATCTACACAACATTCACCTTCCGCGGCTTGTGTAATTGTGCCTATTACTAACAAATAATTCGCATGTAAGCGACTATTAATATCACTGCTGTAAAACAGTAATGGCAGGAAAGCTCGCTGGCCCACTGGTTCCCCCAATTCTACCACTACTGCAATATACAAGCAAAGTGACGTCATTCCTCAAGCATGGCGTGCCTTCATAACTCATTCGTTTATGAACAACTGTTATGAATTTGACATCATTTTGCTTCCACACAACATGGGGCGAAAATCATTTTATTGCAATAAAGCTATACTGTTCCATTATTTACGGTTCCTAGTATTTTGAGGTTAGTTTTACATTTATAGTAAATTCGTGCAGCTCGTAAATACACAAGACAAGAGACAGGCTGACACTCAATAACATAATTTACAGAACTTGGATCTGCGGAAAGATACGATGACGTTTCTTATTAATGACTGTATAATGTTAACTTTACCTCACTTTATTTTGAAACTCCATTACTGTCGGAAAATCTGACTACTTCTTCGCTACCCAGTTCTTCCCACGAGCACACAGCGACCGCGAACAAACAACTCAGTCCGCTACCACAGACAAGCTGGTTGTGATCGTACGATCACGTGTTATATGAAAATATCGTGAAGCATGATGGATTACGTGTATTTATGAAAACAGTCTAAAATCCACCTAAAATTATTAACGTTGTTATGACAGTAAGAAGTGTAGCCTTTTTTGCAAGAAATACTGAAAAGAAAATATTATAAGATGAGAAATACATAAAAATGAACAGATGGAAAGAAACAAGTATTTCATACTTTTATACCCATTTTTCCGATTCCACTCACCCAGATTAAATTATGTTCCTACAAATTGTCATCATTGTTATTATCATCTTGTCCTGCCATATCACGCCAAACGAGTTATTTTACGACGCCTTTTCAGTAGTTCAGTCTGTATAGCATCGAATGAGAGGATGACAGCGAATAATGAATAGGCAAGGGGTTAAATAAAAGATCCCGGTTGGAATTAAACATGGGAGCAATATCTGTGTCCCCAGGGTATGCAGTACCCAGAAGTGGCCTACCCCAGTGGGGGGAAGGGGGCAATCCATCTTCCTAAGGCCTGATCGATCTAATCTCAGTCGGCAGAAGCAAACAGGTGTCCAACCCGGCAGAGGAATACCAATAATGGGTTCCATTTCTGTTGTATCAAATTAGCAAGAAAATGGAATGCAAGGCAAATAAAATACATAAAATTCTAGAAGTGATTTTGTAATAAGAACTCACACATACTTCAAAATACAATAATATATTATCAACACACTTTATGTACAAATGTTTAAAAAGCACTCATCTTCCTCTTTTGAAATGAAATTCCACTTAGTATGTATATACATGTAGCCTAAAATAGACACAAGACAAAGTAAGCAAATTTTAGGCTGGTCGATGAGGAAGTAGTATTATTCAGTTATCTAACCCATTATGGGTAAATATTAAAGAGGACCATGCAAGATATGTAGCTTCAGTGCCATAAATAACTCTCTTTTTTTTTTTAGAAACTGCTGCGCACACCTGAGTGAGGGGCTGCCTATTCCTGAGTTTGGTCCATATCACAATGCATGTATCCAGCATGACAACCACTGAGCCCTTCTTTGCATTACCAAACTCTGTTTTGACATAATTAATCAGACTTAATCCAAATGTTTTTGATGATATGCTGTCATAAATATGATTATTATTTTGGATTTTTCCAGCCACCGCGATAGAAACGATGTCCAAAATAAAAATCACATTTATAACCAAACTTATTCTGTTACAGAATCAGATTAATTACAGGGTATCTTAAGTTAAATAAATGATGATGACATCCAGGTTACCATTTTTTTTCGTGTCTAGTACGCACCATTCAGCATGATGTGCATTGGTGGTTAGCAGGATTCACGACCCATCAGTACATGGGTTCGATCAGGACCGCGACATTTAACGCTCCTGCTGTGACCCCCTTTTTTACGAGATGATGAAAGTGGAGTAACTGTTGGGATGCCACGGAGAAACCCTGGAGGAAAACTCCGTGATGCCTCGACCACGGCCTTGCCCAACACAAGTTGTAAATCTGAGCACCACCGGGAATCGAACCCGGGACCCCAGTATTACAAGCCCAGCGTTCTAACCGCTAGACCGCCGTGGCGGTAGGTTACCATTTATAAATGTGAACATGCAGAAAAACAGACAAGACTTTTTTATTTAACCACCTTAAACTCTTAGACAGCATTGGTAATAGTGAGAATCACACCAATCTTTTGCACTTTCACTATACCATCATCAAATATTAAAAACGTTGCTGTAAAAGTTGTCGTACCAAGAATTGCCATTGCCCAATGGCTCCAGCCAACTTCTAGGGCAAAATCCATCAGAACTAAAAAACAGAATACATTCTACCCTATAAGAGATCACAAAGATTAGCTAGACTTTTTCTTCAGAAAAATATAATTTATATGAAGCCTAAACTTCCTAACACAGCCATCTGCAACTTCTGACCCCCCAAATTCCTCATGAACTCAAAAACCTTCAAATTCCATGACAAATATTAGCGGTTACTCAGCAGGCAGGTCCATGTTTAACTAGAAATAATCGTCAGAATACAAATCACGGCTGATTACAACGATTAACTATAGAGTACAAATATAAAAGACAAAGACTCCTCGGAAAGGAACTCGGATTTTAAAAAATGCATCAGATTGGCAAGAAAAGTTTTCTTGTTCAGGTAATTAACACAGGAAACACAGCACTGTTTGATGTAACTGTCCACAAATATAAATATAAATATTCATCAATCTGTAATCATTACGGATAGTTAAATAGGTAGGAAATATGCTCACAGACACATAAACCACTGTTTAGCCATGGTCTAAGTTTTCTTTAAAATGCACTTACTTAGTCAATAAAATTTCAGTAAATAAATATGAACAGAAAGACGCGCCTCTACAGCTAAATGCTCGTAACTGTGCTGAGAAAATCAGATTTCAAGAAAAATGCTAAATGGAATCTCCGCAATGTGAGATGTACACTAAATTACAGTTGGCACAACTTGTGCTGTCAAACAAAAAAAATAAAATAAAATCTGATAATAAAAAGAAAAGTCTTCACACCAATCTTCTTGTAAGGCAAAACAAGTATTGAGGTTATGTAGAAAAATATGTATCTGTGGTCTTATTTAACATTCACGCTTGAGAACGATTACATAACACTTCTAAATGCCTTGTTGGATACATACTCACTGATTTCATGCAACATCATTCATAAATCTGCATACCTTATGCTACGTAATTCTTTTGAATCATAAATAATGTTATGGCTTGATCAGAACCAAGATTAATTTTTTCACACGTGCATTCAATTTCTAAAAAAAAATCAACTATTTCTATGAGACAGGCTCAGTGGTTATTATTACCTCAAGTACAATGAAGTAAGATCAATCCCTCGGTATAAATGACAGCTCAAAAGAAAACTCCAAGAGACATACAGATAAATAAATACAGTAGATTTATGAAGTTATTTCAATGTCCTCCAGTCTGATATTAGCAGTTCCTCGATGTGAGCAGAGTGGAACTCTCTTTTTCTCATTCAGACATGGTGTAAGGCATCAATGTGGCTGAACCAGAGGTCATAAAAAACTAACTGCATTCATCTAGTATACAACAAGGAGGGGAGGAGAGACATAACCTCAACATGTTCCTGTCAGGACTTATTAATTTTAACCTTTATCATACGAAAATAAGGGTTTTATATCCCCTGCTGGCCAATTTAACTCTGGGCTTAAATATTTTAGTGGTATGCTACCGTAATGCACGAACTCAAGAACGCCATGATACATGACTGATAAAGGTTAAAGACATTACTTTTAGATGTTACATTTCAAGTAATAATTAAGTTTCAAAAGAGATTTGTATCAGATAAAACCAAACTCTAAATCAATTCTATATTTGCCTTGCTCCTGCAGTATTATTTAATATACATAAATTTTACTTTAGCACCAAAACAACTCAAAACTCAGGTGGTTTCATCTGAATCATGAGTTTCTGGCAAGAGGCATGGTCCATGATCACAGTTAGATATTTTTATGTTTTGTGCTTGCATTTCTGCACATATTACTTATAGCACTTGGAGAAACAAAGCTTCACTCTCCCTTGACTGCCCAATATACAAAATTGTAGAAAGTTCAATCTTCAGCTGAAGTTCGTGCTCAAATATAGTGTCAATCATGCCAACAAACTATGCCCTGAACTGGTGACAGGCCCTAAGTCAGGCAACTTTACAATTGTCTTTTAACTAAAAAAATAAAATAAATCCCACATTAAATAATAATAAGTTGTAATTAACTTATTTAACTGCACCAAAGCACTGTACAAGATAATATACACACTGAAGTCACATTTTCCTTCACTATCAGCACAAGATGACAGACCACACAAGCAAATCTGCATACAATTTGTTGCACTTTAATTAATAAAAAGTATATAACTCTTAAAATAAGATTTCTTTTGTATTGACAGTGTTTTTTAACATAACAAAGTAATTAGTAACATGGAAATATGGCACTAATCCATATGAATAATGCATTGGCTATGTTTTAGGGTGGAGCAAGGGAAGGACCAGTGTTTATAACCCAAAGTTCAGCCCTTGAAGACACTCATAAATACATGGCACAATAATATTTATTTTGATCACTGTATAAAAGCCGCGTCATAATTCAGCTCGCTGAAATCTTACACCCTGATACTTTGCTGAATACCTTCCAAAAATACATTTTACTTGATAACATATTCCATAATGCAAAATTCAACCATGTACAATGCTCATTTGATTCTGTTAGAACCACATAAGCTCATACCCATGTTATTTCTATGCACTCCCACTCCTTATTGACATCTTAAGAGGCATTCAAAATGATTCTGAATATAACGAATCATTTAATTTCACCATGATGACTTCTATGTTTCTTTACAACATACACAGATTGAATCTCCCGCTGCAACTACATATGACTGGTTGTGAAATCATGCAGTGTGATATGCTCGTGTCAAATGTCATCCTTTACCAAAGCAGATGATGCCTGGTAAAACACCCCCTGTCACACCGAAGTTTGCGTAATTCCTGTTGGTACCCAGTTCTGCCGATGGTTCAGTTTTTTCAGTTCAGAGCCCTCGCATTCTGAATCGTCCAGATCGCAGAAATTAGCTGAAAGGTCACTATTGCTGGTG